CGAGTTCCAGCATCTCATCGTCTCCACGGATGCATCTACCACGGGTTGGGGTGCCATGTGCAATGGGCATGCAGCCGCCGGCTCTGGACGGGGCCCAGCGCCTCATGCACATCAATTGCCTCGAGCTGCTGGCAGTACGGCTCGCCCTGCACCGCTTCAGAGCGTTGCTAAGGGCCAGCATGTGCTTGTCCGCTCAGACAACACTACGGCTGTAGCGTACATCAACCACCAGGGGGGTCTACGCTCGCCGCGTTGTCGCAGCTCGCCCGCCACCTCTTGATATGGAGTCAGAAGCACCTGAGGTCCCTTCGTGCAGTTCACATTCCTGGAGACCGGAACTGGGCAGCCGACGAGCTGTCTCGGGTCCGCCCATCTCCGGCGAGTGGCGACTCCATCCCCAGTCGGTCCAGCTGATCTGGAAAGAGTTCGGGAGGCACAGATAGATCTGTTCGCCTCCCGGGACTCAGCCCACTGCGCCCAGTTTTTATTCTCTGACCTGGGGCACTCTCGGTTCGGATGCGCTGGCGCACAGCTGGCCACGGGGCCCACGCAAGTATGCGTTTCCCCCAGTGAGCCTCCTTGCACGGGTGTTGTGCAAGATCAAGGAGGACGAGGAGCAGGTCTTGCTGGTAGCCCCCTATTGGCCCACCAAGACGTGGTTCTCCGATCTCATGCTCCCTCGCGACAGCACCTCCTTGGCCTATTCCTCTGAGACAAGACCTACTCTCTCAGAGACGGGGCACTCTGTGGCACCCTCGTCCCGATCTTTGAGAGCTGCACGTGTGGCTCCTGGACGGGACGAGGCAGGTTTGAGTTCGCTGCCACTGCGGTGGGCGGCAACCATCACTTCCGCAAGAGCGTTGTCCACGAGACACCTTTATGCGTTGAAAGTGGAACCTCTTCGTCAATTGGTGTTCTTCTCGCGGAGAAGACCCCCGGAGATGTTCGATCAGTGTCGTGCTTTCCTTCCTGCAAGAAGGGTTGGAGCGCAGGCTGTCGCCCTCCACCCTTAAGGTTTACGTCGCGGCCATTGCCGCTTCTCATGAAGCAGTGGAAGGTAGTCCTTAGGGGAAGCACGACCTGGTCATCAGTTTCCTGAGGGGAG